TGCTGCCCGTGAGGCTGCCGGTTGCAGCAGGTTGCTTTTGGAGGCAGACAGTTGTGGTCTTTGGTGCGACATTTTTGCATCGTTTACCCTTTCTGCCATAGAAAGCCTCTTCCTAGAGCCATCGAGAAGAGGGGAAGAGGATAAAGGAAAGAGGAATCCAACTCAGAGGATTTGTATTCAAATCTTTCTTGTTTTTGTCCCTGAAGAATGCTGTGTTATGTTTTCCAAATCTTAATAAAAGACGATCCTCCTCTTTTTCATTAGGTCCCTTCCTCTCTCAGATCTTCCTAGAGATGCAAATTCCCTGCTTGCTCTGGGTCAGCTGGCATTGTGGTCTTCCTCTCACTCAGAAAAACCCTGTTCATTTTCTTGAGGGTTTATTGGCGTGTGAGGTCAAGACTCTTCCAGGTGGGAAAGAGAACAGCCCAGTTTTGTCCAGTGCCAGCTCTGTCTCTGCAAATTCACAATTGCAAGGCCAGTTTGTACGTTAACTCCTCACCTCCTTGGCAGGTTTCTCTTCTGGGCTCCTTGTTTTTCTTAAAGAAGTCCCTGCCCTGGCCGGCATTTGCCTGCAGCAGTGGGACCAGCTCTCTGCAATATTGCCTGGCCTAGCTTCCAGTTCCACCCAGTGTCCTTTGGCTTTGCTTCTGCTTTCTTGTTTTCTCTTTAGTCTTTTTTTGCCTAGTCCATGGCAGTTCGTAAGTGACGTGTGAATAATCTCCCCAGGTTCTTTGCTCTGTGGAGAGCCCTGGTCCTTTCTCAGGACCTGCTCCGGTGCCGTCACTCCTGGTTTTATCCCAGAGGCTTCACAGTATCTGCTGTTCTTCAGCCCCTTTTTCTTTTTGCCCTCCAGCATCAGCGTGAGGTGTTGTCCCAGCTGTTCGGGGGGTTATGCATCTTGTTTCTTCAGGGTACCACAAATTCAAGGAACAGGACTGTCTTTGGCACATTGGAGGAACCATCGAGAAGCCCCATTTTGTTTGAGTGGAATGGTTTGCTTGGGAAGCTCACCCAGCAGCTGCGGGGTTTCTTTCTGTCCTGAGGTTTCCCTCTGGCACTGGTGATAGTTCACACAAAAAATGTACTTTAAGAGATCTTTGGCATACTTGTTTTTTCCAAA